AGGGCGGGAGGGCGGGGCCTGTGAGGTGGGGAACTTGTGAGTGATGACTTCCTGCATGGGGACGTCATGTGTGAGCAGGGTTTCAGCAGTGTGGCCACTGGAAGAACCAAGGCAACAGAGCAACAGGTGATTATTGACTCACTGGCTTTAACTCACACACTGGCAAACTCCAGGACACAGGTCACCAAGGTCAACATGCAGAGAAAAACAGAAAAAGATACAGATGCACAGCACTCACATCACAAACACAAAAAACGTTGTGTTAACTTTTAATTCTTCGAACTTTTAGTTAGTTAGTAAAACACAAACGCTCCACAGTGAACTGCTGCAAGGTCAACGACGAGCAGACGTTTTTTCAATAATAATTTGGCCATTTTACCAATCATTTATAAATATTTTTTAAATGTTATAAATATTTTTCTTTTGTTCCCTTTTTCCAAATATGAACATGGGCTTTCTTTATGAACCAGAAATTATGCTCTGGTTTCAGACAGTATAATAAAAAGGGCCACAAATGAATCATGGAATGATGTTATCTACACTGGTCTGCTCAGTTAAGCCCTTAATAGGGATGAAATCAGAAAAAAAAGAACTCGATTTTTCAAACACATTATTTGGCCGGAATGACAATTTGGACCCTTAAAAATGATTTGATTATTTGCATTTTTAGAAGATGGGATTAGAAAGGTAAAAAAATCACAGGAAAGGCTCGATGTCCATCTCCAGGGCAGAGCAGGGCAGCGTGAGCTCAAAACGGTTGATAACGTCGGGGTGGAGGACTCCGAGACGCCCAACGCTCTTTCCGTGCACAAAGATCTCGGCACAACGGCCTGGGAAAAAGGTGGAATCTGGAAAAGAAAAACAGATTTATAACTTTCAGGAGAAAAGAGTTGAAGGAGCCTCTGTTGAACTAAGGTAGGACAATGTCTTGGACACAACCCAGGTCAAGGTCTCATCACTTCAGTCTCCCTGTCCTGACACTGGAGTGCTGCTGTTTTTATAACTCTCTCAGAAAAAGGTGGCAACGTAGAATCTCATAATCCCTACAGCAATTTTTCAGAACGTTCAAGGACAGACAAGAGGCTTTGCTGTCGCCATAAAAATACAATTTCATCAGTGCAGGGCCTTGGACTGATATTATTATGTTGTAGAATAAGAGAGTCCTTTATCCTGTCCTCAGTGGACCTGTACAAGTGGATGTTCACACTGCATTTGAGTTGGTCTGATATCCTCTCTGTGGGTCTGGTGAGACAAGAATTGAAAATTAGGTTTAATAGAACTGGGTGATATGATCCAAATATATCTTTAAATTTCCATTCTAAATGACAATAAACATGTCAATATTTTCACCCTATAAAGTAGTAACAAACCAAAGCAAAGCCACATATATTATTTCACCCCCACCACCCTTTCCTAGTGCTGTTTTAAGAGACTGAAGAATCTTGCAGTGGTTTGAACTTTTGGTTTCTGTAATTTTTCGACAGATACAGAATGCATTCTTTTGCTGATCATTTGATACAAGAAATTCAAACCTCCACCAAATAACTAAGCTTTTTATCCCACCAACTCATGTTTCTCTTTTGTAAATTGAGAGCTTCTCTGCCTGCGTTCATGTGGCTCAGTCTGAGGGCTGGGGGCGGAGCAAGGAGTCAGAGGGAATTTAAAGATAGATGAAAAGAAGAGAACATTTTGCAATTCTGAATTTACAAGTAGAATATTAGATTCATATCACATTTTTCTACTTAAACAGTATAGTCTCACTCCATATCACATATTAAAAAATATATTGATATTTTGTATAAACTCATATCTCTCATTTTCAGGTGTCTTAATTGTAGAAGACAGCTTAACTGTCCAGTGTCTCCTGCAAATCACATCACAGAGATCCTCAGTCAGTTGGTGTAACCAGTGTGGGTGTGTGCTGTGCTTCCTTTCCACTTCCACAGTTTACTCTGTGATTGATAATCCACCCACAGCAGCAGTCAGTGGGCCAGAAATATAAAGTAGCAGCAGGAAGGTCCAGAAAATGATTGAATAAAACAGAGTTTTAGGTGTGAGGAATAACCTGACAGATGTGTAATGAACATGATAATAAAGGGCTTTTGTATCAGTCAGTTACAGAAAAAAAATACTTCAAATATGTGCAAATGTGATGAGCCTGAGGACACGCCGTCAGCTTTGACTGGAATTTACATTTCAGGTTCTGCTACTCAGGAAAATATATGTGCATTCTCCTCTGTGTTCCAGTGTATGTGCGTGCAGAACGTGTGTGTGTGTGTGTACAGGGAGTGGAGGTCACTTCAGTCCACATGGTATAAAAGTCATCCATCTATACCGAACACTTGGCGTTTGCTTGACTTTGTTTGTTCAAACACGCCGACATGCAAACAGACAGAAAGACGCACTTGTGCGCGGACTGAACATTGTACAGTGGTCGCCATGGCGACAGACCCACACGCAGAGACATGGCTTTTTCCCATAGTGCACTGCTTCTTCCTACGCTGCCATGCTAATGGCCCCTAAAACCCACCACTTACATTTTTCACTAATGATAATGGAGGAAAAAAAAAAACTTTACAATAAAGATGGACTGTGTGAGAGTGAGACATAGAATAAAAGAGAGACAGGGAGGAAAAGGAGGGGGCAGAGAGAGAGAGAGAGAGAGAGACACTGACTTGCTCCAGCCTCTCATTCTGTGGCTCTTACATGTATTAGATCAGTAGAATGCACTTGCGTCTGTTCAGGCGTCATCCTCTGAGATGCCATGGCAACAGTATAAATAGCCCTGGTGGAACCTAAATAAGCAATCAGTCAATGAAAGTCCTACATGATCCAGGCCACCTTTCTGCCCACTCACCCCCGACTCCGTGAAGGTGTCAGCGGAAGAGACAAGGCGGTCAAATGTCCAAAAGTATCTGCACTTTCCTGTCGTCACTTCAGGGCTGAGTTACAAGATTTAATTTTTTTGTTTTCTTTTTCTGCTGCTGAAACACACAGGGAGATATTTTACATCCTGGATGCTGACTTAAGGGATCAATTTACATCAACTTTATAAAAAAAAAAACAAAAAAAAAAAAACTGTCAATTTGTTTACTAGTCTCAGTTCCAACTTCCCTCTTGGTGCTTTCAAATTTTCTCTAGAAACAGTGAATTGAATGTAACGTCGCACTAATACACTGGCTAAACACTGGTCTGGAGCAGTGGCAGGATGGAATGTTTGCAGAAGTTACGCAGCGTGACGAGCTGGAAACATGGCTGAGTGCAGGTGCAGATGGATCAAGGGCAGACCACCGACGTAGGGTATGCCAAAACAAGGACGCACAGCTTCTCCTGGTCCACTGGGGGCTCCACTACTCATCCATTCAGCTCTCTTAAAGAGTCTAAATGTGTCAGTAATTGACGTTTGTTCAAACCTGTCTTAGAATTACACTGAAATGTTCCGCAGACTAAAATAAACACCGACTAAAAGAGAGAGACCCACAAACCCTTAAATACGCCACTAGCTTTAATAATTCAGAAAAGCTGAAAACAACAGGTCAGCAGGGGTGGTGGGGTGTTGCTGCTTGGGGGGGGGGAGGCAACGCGACAAGTCTGGACCTAGCATTTGAGACAGCTTTTAAGTGAAACCCAGACATACGTCTCTAAAGTGGCTTTTCCCTCCTTGCTGACCTCCCCTCACCCCCCACCTCATCCTCTTCACTCACTGAGGAAACTGACTGAATGAACTCCCTCAGCTGCTCTACCTCTCTGTGCTGGGTGTGGCTGTGGGTTAGTCACAGTGCAGCTATACTGCACTGACGGACACATCCTGACTGTGTTTGTACGGTCGGTGTGTGTGTGTAGCTCTCAGCCTGGGTCTTGAACTTGTAATGAGGTTAAGGAAAAGCTGACAGATAAAGGGAGTGTGGAGGAGGAGGTTGCACTCAAGGTGCATCTTAGTGGGCAAGAGGAAAATTATACTATAATAGTGGCCCTAGTGGATAGATTAGGCATCTACACCCCACCAAGTAAAATATATGGGATTTTTTTCAGATGGAATCGAACACCATTGAATAAATTTGTGTTCACACTGCTCGTCACCATATTATCCACAAGGCTGTGGCAGCCACATTAAACTGTCTCTCAGTTCTTTGTATTTAATGAAAGTATCAGTATCACTACTCAGTATTTGGAAGTACACTAATCAATATACTTGTATTCATTCAGGTTGGTATAAAACTGTTATCAGGACAACCCTAGTTGACACCGACATCTGGCTCATTCCAGTCTCTTGGTAAGTGTGTGCTTTTGTCGTGGCCAGTGTTGCTGGTCAACTCAGCAGTACCTCACATGACTCCCCTGTGCTCTCCCTCGTTACGTGCTCCTGGCCACGGCACACTCGACAGCCCCCGCCTCTGTCTATTTTTCGCACTCTGGTCTCATTTCACCTTCTTGCTCCTTCCTTTCATCTGCCTTCAGCCTCTCCTCTCTCTTCTGCTGATACTTGAGCACATTGATTTGTAGTCTGTATAGGCCGGCAGGAGCTGATTAGACATCCTGCAGTGTGACCTTGAAGCGTGCAAGGCAAGCCAAGGGGGAGATGAGGGAAGAGACGTGGGTGGGAGATTATTAGA